GGAAGGAAGGAAGGAAGGAAGGAAGGAAGGAAGGAAGGAAGGAAGGAGCCTATAATAATTATCTTGGGTTCGCTTTAGCCTCCTAAATAACCTCACCCACCTCTGTATCAGACCTAACATCCTATGACTAAAAAATAAAAACCTTTTGGAATTTATTTTTAGTTTACTTGTTTTTATTTTTGAGACAGGGTCTCACTGTGTATCTCTGACTGACCTAGAACTCACTATGTAGACCGGGTTGGCCTTGAACTCACAGAAATCGGTCTGCCTCTGCTGGGGTTAGAGTCATGCACCACCACGTAACAGACCAATAGCTTCCATCAATCCAAAGGCTGAGAATGTTATCAGACAGCATCTGAGTGTCTGGTTTTGTTTGTTTTATTTTTGTCCATCAGTACTGAAGCCTAGAAAAGATTCCCCCATTGTGGCAGTCTGAATAGGAATGGCCCCACAGACTCATGTGTTTGAGTGCTAGCCCACAGGGAGTGGCACTGTTAGGAGGTGTGGCCTTGTTGGAGGAAGTTTGTCACTGTGGGGGCGGGCTTCGAGGTTATATGTCCTCAAGTTTTGCCCAGTCACACAGTCTCCTTTGAGTCAAGATATAGAACTCTTGGCTCCTCCAGTACCATGTCTGCCAGGGTACTACCATGCTTCCTGTTAGGATGACAACAGACTAAACCTCTGAAACTGTAAGCAAGGCCTGATTAAATGTGTTCCTTTATGAGTCATTCTGTTCATTCTCTTCGCAACCCTCACTAAGACACCGTCTCTCTGATGTTTTCACTGGTGTATTTCTTTTCTTCTTCTTTTTGGATTTTTTTTTTTTTTTTTTTTTTTTTGAGGCTTGTCTGTGTAGCCTTGGCTATCCTAGGCTCCTTTTGTAGACCAGGCTGGCCTAGAACTCACAGAGATCCGGCTGCCTCTGCCTTCAAGAGTGCTGGGATTAAAGGCGTGCGCACACCTGGCTCACTGGTATATTTCTAAAATGCCTTGATATATAACTTTCTTTGTCTATTACTATAAAAACTTCCATGAACCTTCATCCCTGAAGAAGCACAGTATTTGCAGAGACCTAAAATGTGCTCCCGGGTCAACTGTCTCTTTCTCTGTAGAGATGGGCACTATTTCTTTCAACGCTGGCAGTAACTTCCCGCCTGTTGAAGCTGAGACTGTTCGAATGCCGTCATTCAAAAACCAAAAAAAAAAACAAACAAAAAAAACTTCACCTAGAGCAACTGCCTATTTCCAAGCCCCTCCCCTTTCCAGAATGCTCACCAGGTTGACAAAGTCCTGGTAGCAGATTTGCCCATCTGCGTGGCTGTCTGCGAGAGCCAGGAGCACCTCCTTCTTGTGTGGGTCCAGCTTAGAGCTGTGGCTCTCCAGAAGGCTCCGGAATTTTCCCGTGCTGATGTAGCCGGTGCTCCCAGGGTCAAACTGAAGGTGAAACAGAACAGAGAGTCAGTGGGCACACCCCTCCCAGTGCTCCTGTGGGGACGCAGCCCTTTCTCACTTGAAAGTTTTTGTTTTGTTTTGTTTTGTTTTTGTTTTCAGTTTTTCGAGACAGGGTTTTTCTGCGTGTCCCTGGCTGTCCTGGAACTTACTCTGTAGACCAGGCTGGCTGAGAGCTCACAGAGCTCCGCCTGCCTCTGCTGGGTAGTGCTGGGTTAAAGGCGCGAGCCACCACCGCCTGCACCAGCTGCATTTGTGCTTGTCACACCGTTCTCTTCATCTTAAAACTCCCCTGCATCATGAGCCACGGCCAGGCTTCCCACCCATCTCTACCTACTTTCGCCTCATCGCTGGGCTGTGCCTTCTGTCACAGCGGCTGCCTTCAATTGAGATTTATTGGTGAATAAATGGGGTTTCAGTGAATAGACAGGTACTAATTTTCCATGAGAAACCTCTTGGGTTCAGTCAGAAAAAGCTGTTATCCCCTTTTGCTCCTTCCCCACAGGGCTTACCCGGAGCCTGCCCTCCTGACCCTGCCAGTAAATGACACCCTGTCTCCTGTGGTGCCGAGAGCACTCTGGTCAGAAGGGCTCCTCGCACGCGACTCCAGTGAGTACCTGGAAATGCTGCAGGGCTTTCTTGGGTTTTAAACGCCAATGGAAGGCAGGGGATACAACCCAGCGGCAAAGTGTGTGCCAAGCACAAGAGTCCCTGGGTCTGATACCAGTACAGAGATGGGAGCACTAAATTGAAATGGACCTTGGGAAAGTACAGGGGCTGAGTCTGAAAGGCCAAACCCATGTTGCTCCTTTCTCTGGATAAGGTTAACAAAGGCTGTTTGGGGAAAGCAGGTTCTACATACAGTGTTTGTAGACAATCTAAGCCTGAAAACACAGCCAAAAAGCACAGTCAGGAACCACTTCAGCTCTCCCCAGAACTCTTCTGGAGAGGGTAGCTCCAAGGAGCTCCCATGTTCAGACCATACCCTTCACCCCAGCACCAGGTGTCAGGCATGACACCCATTTGCTTATTACCATCAGGTATTTCAGGAAACTCAAAAAGATCTGCAAGACTACGAGTGTCATGGCTGACGGAATGGCTCAGCAGGTGAAAGCCCTTGCTAAGCAAGTCTGACAGCCTGAGTTCAATCCCGGAAACTCATACAAGGAGGAAGGAGTGAACTGACTCCCAAAGGCCATTCATTCTCTGATATCCCCGGACAAGCCTCCCATCCCCGCCCCCTGCACACACTCTCTCTCTCTCTCTCTCTCTATTACACACAGAGATAATAACAATAACAATAGTAATAATAGTTTTTTGTTTGTTTGAGCCAGGGTCTCCCTTCCTAGTCCTGGCTGCCCTGGAACTCCCAGTGTAGACCAAGCTGACATTGAGCTCACAGAAATTTGCCCATTTCACAGAAATTTGCCCATCTCTGCCTCCCAAGTGCTTCGACTAAAGGTGTGTTATGCCACACCTGGCTAATAATAGATTTAAAAGAAAAGAAAAAAAAGAAGAAGTGCCAAGGAGATGGCTCCTTAGGTAAAGGCACTTGCAACCAAGCCTGATGACCTGAGTTCAATTCCAGGACCAGGATGGAGAGAACCGACTGCCATAGATTACCCTCTGACCTTCACAACACTTGTGCTGTAACAAAAAGGCAGACAGAGACAAATATTAGACTCACACTCACATTCTAAATGTAATTTTTTAAAAAAAAGTAGTAACACCTAATGTTTGCCATGTTTTCGTAGAACCAAACACTGTTTCACGTACTTTATGTACAGAATTTCTTCTTTTTTAAAGATTTTTTTGTTGTTTGTTTTTTTTTTTTTTTTAATTTTATTTTATATGTATGCCTGGTATCTATGGAGGCCAGAGGAGAAGGTTGTATCCCCTGAAAGGGGAGTTATAGATGGTTGTGAGCTGCCATGTGGGTGCTGGGAATTGAAACAGGGTGACCCAGAAGAGCAACAAGTGCTTTTGACCCCTGAGCCATCTCTCCAGACCCCTTTGTACAGAATTTATTTGACTCCTCCCACAAGAAATGGGCAAGAACAAGCAAAATGGGCAGCCTGCAAGCAGCAGACAAATCCCACATCCAGGCAGCTCAGTTCGGTGCTGCTGGGTGCCACAGACTGGAGGCAAGACGACTCTGCTGTTCAACAGTAAAACTGGAGGACCAAAAAGCCGAGCCCAGCACTGGGTCCCGGAGCCACTGGTCTCCCCCAAACAAGTTTTTTGGCAGTAGGGAAGAGACACAAACAGAGCTAGTCTGGCCTCCTTGTAGCCCAGATGTGGGAACTGAGCAGAGAGAGATGAGGGAGAAGAGGAGGGGAATAGAGAGAGGGAGGCTGGAAGATGCTAGCAGTTGACAGGGCTTTGGTGCAGACCACTATTCTAAGCCACGTGGTCCAACCCTGACTCCACCAGCCTGGCGCTGACTGGTCCATTTTACCTCAGGACTGGGATAGGTCCTGGGAAGATGTCTGTTGGGTCCTGCAGGGATCAAGGGTCCCCTTCACGTCAGAGAACTCGTCTGCCTCAATAGAGGAGGAAACCCAAGGGGTTTTGCATGTGCTGGGAGCACAGCCTACAATCCCTTCCCAGGGGCCTCCTCAGGGCTGCCTGCAGAGGAAGATGAAGCAGGGGGCTGAGATCAGGCACCAGACAAAGAGCCACCTGCTCTTTCCCTTCCCCTCCCCCTCCAGGGCTCCCTGCTGTTGTCCTAGTGACAGGAGCTGCCCTGTGGCTATCCAGACCCCCTGGCCCCAAGCACATTACAAGCTCTATCTACAGTGCAGAGCACACGCTGGAATCAGGCCGAGCCTCCATTCTCTGCCAAAACTCTACCTTTCATGCCAGGGCCAGACAGGCCAGACAATGGGGGTCACCACTACCCAGATAATGAGGCCTCAGGGACCAGAGGATAACTGGGAATGGGGGAGAGCCAGGGCCAGGCTGGCTGCTGGGGTTCTAATACCTCAGACAATGAGAGCAAGGGCAGAACAGGCAGTGGGGTGTTGGTCGGGAGACAGGAGAAGGCAAAAGGATGGAGATGGTGGGGGGGGGCATGCTCAGAAGTCAGAAGAAGGTCCCTCCATTCAGAAGGAAGCTGAGACTGTGTCCCTCAAGCAAGAGAGCAGGGAGCAAGGCAAAAATCACACTCCTGTCTTTACACAGCTCAGCCTCCACTGGCCCATCTGTTAAGTGGGCTGATGCCAACGGAGGGCAGCAGCTAGCCAGGGGCTATTCTCCTCACTTTATTCAAATGAGTTCTGTCTACCTGCTAGACACCCTCAGGCCTACAGGAAGGGAGGTCACAGTAGGAGTGTGGTGCTGCTTCGGGGGAGGGCAGATCAAGTCCTTTAATCGAAACTTCCTTGTTAAGAGCATGCTAGAGGCTCTGAAGCTGCCCCCCAAGGTCCTTGCCCTAGAATCACTGTTGGCAGCAGGATGAGCTGGTGTGTGTGTGTGTGTGTGTGTGTGTGTGTGTGTGTGTGTGTGTGTGTGTGA